CCGGCGTATGGATAGATGAAACAACGTGAAAAGGAGGCCAAATACACGAGACCAAAAACGGACCAGTCTCGGGCATGACCACCAGATATGCAAGACATCGCCACGATGGCCACAACCCCGGAAACATCGATCACTACAAGCGGGATTAGCCTGGGCCAAACGAGCCGGAACCCAATACCAACGAAACAATACCTTATAGGCTGCCTCCAGCGTGGTGGATATTGAATGAGCATTTAGCTATGAGTGACCAGGCCCTATTCCAGTCCTCCGGATCCACATCCACCCCCAGGTCACGCTCCCACTGAACAACATATGAAAGAGAAGTATGCGACGGGCGTCTGTTCAAGGCTGCATAAAGAAGGGAGATAAGGCCCGGGGCGCCCGGGCGCTGCTGACAAAGCTGTTCAAAGGCCGATTTCTGGTATGGAAAAGAAGAAGTGCCCCGCAGCGAGAGTAGCCAGTGCCGCAATTGAAGGTATCGAAAAAATTCCGCCGGGGGAACATCCCGGGACTCCCGAAGAAGATCCCAGGTAGGGAAGGACCGAGAGACCAAAAAGTGTCGTACCTGCGAAAACCCATGACCCACCCACCAAGAGAACGCCCTTGGGTGATCTAAACCCGGTGGGAAAAGAGGGTTGTTAACAATTGGAAGCAAAGGCAGAAAGGGTGACATCAGGCCACTGGAATAACGTACCGAGTCCCAGACTTGTAAGCCATGGAGCAACATCGGGCTCAGCGATATAGGGCGCAGGGCAGGGGGAAGCCATAGAAGCGCCGACGGTTGGATAGGGGCACAGTTAGGTAGCTCCAGCAAGACCCAGAGAGGGACGTCAGAGGAAGCGTGCAACATAGACAGCGGGGCAATCTGGCTCGTCTGGTAATATTACTTACATTGGGCACCCCAAGGCCACCCTGGAGTCTATGAGCAAAGAGCGTATTTCTAGATACTCTGGGGTGCTTATTGGCCCAGATGAAACGCATAAGCTTCGCCTGAAAGCAACCGAAGGAAATGAGGGGGAACCCGCACCGGGAGAGTACGAAAATAATATAACAATTTCGGCAGGACGGTCATTTTCACCGAATGAACCCGCCCTATCCAAGACAGGTGCGGAAATTGACAGGAATGCAGAAGAGAACATAAAGAACTAAGCAATGGGTAATAATTTGCAGCAAAGAGGGAGTCATAGGTGGGGGTCAAGCGGATGCCCAAATATTCAAGAGAGGAGGAAGCCCATTTATAAGGGAAGTAGGATTGAAGGCGTGAAACCAAATCGGAATCCAAAGTAATATTAAGAGCGACAGTCTTATCCAAGTTAATATGGAGACCCGAAATCAAAGAGAAGCGCTCAAGAACCTGTTGCAGATTACAGAGCAGGGCTTTGGAGCAAGCAAGCACAAGTGCCCCCATAGGTAGCATCTTGCTGTGGGGGCACTCAGCAGCGGGAAGGTGCTAGGAGCTCCAGCAGGGGACCCAAGGAGAGGAGGATAGGTGCTGCTCTGTGCAAAACCATTTCATAGAGCAGGTAAGTATGACATGTTTGTTATTTTTAAAAAATAAATGTTATGCCTTTAGTATCACTTTAACTTTGTGATTAAAAAAAATGTGGACATTTAAATCATCCAATCACGTGCAGGGTAAAAGCTTATTTTTCTGTTTGTTTTTTTGCACATGATTGGATATTCAAATTAAATACAACTTCACCTTATTCACTAAGATAAATTAATATTTTCTGCTCTTAGTAAATCAAGAATCTGTTTCTTCATTCTCTTCAAGAAGCAGAGAAAAATGTCATCACAATCGCTGTGCAGCATTACTAAACAGGAAGCATTGCCAGCATGTATAGTACGCATAAATGGCTGTCCCATTTAAATCTGGAATTTTTAATTATGCACAGAAACTAGTTTTAATTTAGTTATATGATTTAGCTATGATACAGTAATTTACACATTCACGTACCTTTCAAAATAAGTTAAAAATTCTTTATAGTAGAGTGCATCCCAGTTTGCAGTCTACATTTTTAAAAGGAGCTGCTTGAACTACATTGACCTAGTTCTGTTGTCTGCTCAGCACGCTTCTCCACTACGTTGTCACCCAGCCACAGGTCTATAAGATTCAAACTGAGCAGTATTATTATTTCTAAATGTCCTTGTAATGTCAGTAGGATGATTTGATGGAAGCGTGTTGGGAGAGAGAAATATCTTCTACTTGCTCAACCCTTCCTGAGATGAAGGTGCTCTGCATGTACAGGTGAAACTCGAAAAATTAGAATATAGTACAAAAGTTCATTTATTTCAGTAATGCAACTTAAAAGATGAAACTAATATATGAGATAGACTCATTACATGCAAAGCAAGATAGTTCAAGCCGTGATTTGTCATAATTGTGATGATTATGGCTTACAGCTAATGAAAACCCCAAATCCAACAATCTCAGAAATTAGAATATTGTGGAAAGGTGCAATATTCTAGGCTCAAAGTGTCCCACTCTAATCAGCTAATTAACCACTTGCCGTCCGCCATTTCTAGCTGTGCGCGCTCCCTCGGAGCGCGCAGCACCGCGATCCAGTGCCCGCTGTGTCCTTCGGACACAGTGAAACACCGATCGTCAGACGGGACCTCTGTACGAGGTCCCGATCATGTGATCACTGATAGGCCAATCAGTGATCACATGCAAAGTAGTAAGCAAGATGTGACATCATTGCTTACTACGTGTGAAATCTGTGAATGATCACAGAGGTCACATGGTACAAGACTATTCACAACAGCCTTGTACCATTTCACAAGCTGTGACCAATCACAGCTCACTCAGTATTTCTCAATGGCTGCAAGAATGCAGACAGAGAGAAAGAGAAATGATTGCTTTTACATCCTATATGGGTGTAAAAGCAATCACTGTAAAAAAAAAAAAAAAAATCTTCATCACCCCCCACATGTAGTACAGTATCACCATGGTGACACTGTACTGCTAGGGTGACAGTATGTAAAAAAAAAAACCATAAATAATAATAATAATATAAACAAATAAAATTAAAAATGTAAAAAAAATGTTTAAAAATTATAATTTTTGGTTATAAACTAATTTGGCTTATTTTTTTTTACTAAAAAGATAACGGAATACATTTTGGCCAAGATCTATGATGAAAGATTATTTATTTGCAAAATTTTATAAGAAAAACACTTTTTTTTCAAAATTTTTGGACATTTCATTTACATAGCAAAAAAAATAAAAATCCCAGCGATGAATAAATACCACCAAAATAAAGCTTTATCTGTCTCAAATAAATGGTAAAAAATTCATATGGGTACAGTGTTGCATGACCGCACAATTGTCATTCAAAGTGTGATAGCGCTGAAAGCTGAAAATTGCCCTGGACAGGAAGGGGGTAAAAGTGTCCGGACAGGAAGTGGTTAAGCCATAACACCTACAAAGGGTTCAGAGCCTTTAAATGGTCTCTCAGTCTGGTTCAGTAGCAATCACAATCATGGGAAAGACTGCTGACCTAACAGTTGTGCAGAAAACCATCATTGACACCCTCCATAAGGAGGGAAAGCCTCAAAAGGTAATTGCAAAAGAAGCTGGATGTTCCCAAAGTGCTGTATCAAAGCACATCAATAGAAAGTTATGTGGAAGGGAAATGTGTGGAAGAAAAAGGTGCACAAGCAGCAGGGATGACCGCAGCCTGGGGAGGGTTGTCAAGAAAAGGCCATTCAAAAGTGTTGGGGACTTTCACAAGGAGTGGACTGAGGCTGGAGTCAGTGCATTAAGAGCCACCACACACAGAAGGGTCCTGGACATGGGCTTCAAATGTCGTATTCCTCTTGTCAAGCCGCTCCTGAACAACAAACAACATCAGAAGCGTCTTACCTGGGCTAAAGAAAAACAGACCTGGTCTGTTGCTCAGTGGTCCAAAGTCCTCTTTTCTGATGAGAGCAACCTTTGCAACTCATTTGGAAACCAAGGACCCAGAGTATGGAGAAAGAATGGAAAGGCACACACTGCAAGATGCTTGAAGTCCAGTGTGAAGTTTCCACAGTCTGTGTTGATTTGGGGAGCCATGTCATTGGCTGGTGTTGGTCCACTGTGCTTTATTAAGTCCAGGGTGAATGCAGCCGTCTACCAGGAGATTTTGGAGCACTTCATGCTTCCTTCCGCAGATGAGCTTTATGGGGATGCTGACTTCATTTTGCAGCAGGACTTGGCACCTGGCCACACTGCCAAAAGCACCAAAACCTGGTTCAATGACCATGGGATTACTGTGCTTGATTGGCCAGCAAACTCGCCTGACCTGAACTCCATAGAGAATCTATGGGGCATTGCCAAGAGAAAGATGAGAGACATGAGACTGAACAATGCAGAAGAGCTGAAGGCCGCTATTGAAGCATCCTGGTCTTCCATAACACCTCAGCAGTGCCACAGGCTGATAGCTTCCATGGCACGCCGCATTGAGGCAGTAATTGCTGCAAAAGGGGCCCAAACCAAGTACTGAGTACATATGCATGCTTATACTTTTCAGAGGTCCGATATTGTTCTATGTACAATCCTTGTTTTATTGATTGCATGTAATATTCTAATTTTCTGAGATTGTGGATTTGGGGTTTTCATGAGCTGTAAGCCATAATCATCACAATTATGACAAATCACGGCTTGAACTATCTTGTTTTGCATGTAATGAGTCTATCTCATATATTAGTTTTACCTTTTAAGTTGTATTACTGAAATAAAATTAACTTTTGCACGATATTCTAATTTTTTGAGTTTCACCTGTATATGTACAAACTAATTCTGCAACACGTGCAGTATGTTTTCCAACTGGATTCCTTTTATAAATTCACTTTTTTTGAAATAATAATTCCAGTCCAAAGAAAATACATAGGGTTAAAAATTAGGCATTTGTTGTTCAGTAATGCAGCACTGAAATATTCTTTGACAGATGGTTTTTCATTTTCAGGCCCAATTCAGTGATCACTGAAAAAGACAAAATATTACATATACTGCTCACCTTCCAGGTGCTTGACGATGCCTCTCAAGCTGTTCCCATGAGCTGCAATTAGCACTCGTTTGCCGGCACGGATCTGTGGGGCGATCACGTCATTCCAGTAGGGAAGGGCGCGTGCAATTGTGTCCTTCAGACTTTCACATGATGGCAATTCAGATGCACTGAGGTCAGCATAGCGCCTGTCCTGAGGGGAAGAAAATGAAACATTGGTATTTATTTGCATAAACGCAGTTATATTGAAATGTAATTTTGGGAAAGTGAACAACTGATAAGATTGTTTTATGATATATTTAATGAATGAGCCCAGTGCCATTTTTATGTGTAATGGTCTAAAGGCACTACATTTAGGACTTTAAAGTGGAACTTCACCCAAAAAGGGGAAGTTTTGCTTATTTATATCCCCCCTTTAACATTTGGCACTTTTTGGGAGGGGGGGAGCAGGTACCTGGTTTTGACAGGTACCCACTCCCACTTCTGGTAGGATCTTTGAAGTTCACCCCCCTCCTTCCCCTGCAGCCTACTAGGACACATCACAGGTTCCAGAAAACCATTCACAAAGCACAGTGTAGCTCGCACATGCCAGAGGAAAACCGGCTAGTAAGCCGCAAGGCTTCACTGACGGTTTCCCTTAGATAAAATGCCGTCTCCTGGACCCAAAGCTGATTGAAGAATCGGCTCAGGTGAGGACAGTGCTGGATCCCTGGACAGGTAAGTGTCCTTATATTAAAAGTCAGAAGTTACAGTATTTGTAGCTGCTGCCTTTTAATTTTGTGGGGGGAGACTGAAGCTCCTTTTTAAGTTAGTGGTAATAAGGTTCAATTTTTATTACTTTTATAGCACAGACTGCCAGTATATATATTTATATATAGTATACATTTCTCTGATCATGAGGATACTCTGTTGCTCATGCAAGCCTCATTTGATTTTAATGGTTCTAGACTTCACTGGAGCATTACCCAGAAGTAATTTTACCTAGAAGTAAATTTATTAGGTTAAATTAAAAAAAAAAAAAACTGTTATAGAAGCATAATTAGAAAATAACTTAGGACAAACGTGCCCTATCCCCAGCTTCATATGCTTTTACAGATATCCGTAGCATGTCATGAATGTCTATAACTACACGGGTGATAATGAGCATGTAGTGCACACGTAATACATAGCTCCTAACTGTTCCTGATTTCGAGTGATTGTCCCTCATTTGGAACAAAGTCCCTTTGTCCCTCTTTCCTCCTCATTTGGCCCTCATTTTGGTCTGATGTATATAGTGCCTTGAAAAAGAATTCATATCCCTTGAAATTTTCCACATTTTGGTATGTTACAACCAAAAATGTAAATATATTTTATTGAGATTTTATGTGATAGACCAACACAAAGTGTCACATAATTGTAAAGTGGAAGTTAAATGATTTTTTACAAATAAATATTTAGAGAGTGTGGTGTGCATTTGTATTAAGCCCCCTTTACTCTGATACCCCTAACTAAAATCTAGTGGAACCAATTGTCTTCAGAAGTAACCTAATTAGTAAATATAAATACAGCTGTTCTGTTGTTGAAAGAAAGCCAAAAGAAGTCCTGTTTGCAGTTTGCGAGAAGTCATGTGGGGACACAGCAAACATGTGGAAGAAGGTGCTCTGGTCAGATGAGACCAAAATTGAACATTTTGACCTAAAAGCAAAATGCTATGTGTGGCGGAAAACTAACACTTCACATCACCCTGAACAGATCATCCCCACCGTGAAACATGGTGGTGTCAATATGATATTGTGAGGATTCTTTTCTTCAGCAGGGACAGGGAAGCTGGTCAGAGTTGATGCGAAGATAGATGGAGCCAAATACAGGGCAGTCTTAGAAGAAAACCTGTTAGAGTCTGCAAAAGACTTCAGACTGGAGTGGAGGTTTACTTTCCAGCAGGACAATGGCCCTAAACATACAGCCAGAGCTACAATGGAATAGTTTAGATCAAAGCATATACATATTTTAGAATGGCCCAGTCAAAGTACAGACCTAAATCCAATTGAGAATCTGTGGCAGTACTTGAGCTCTGCCAGAGGTCAAGCTATTTTGCAAAGAAGAATGGGCAAACATTTAACTCTCTAGATGTGCAAAGCTAGTAGAGACATCCCCAAAAAGATTTGCAGCTGTAATTGCAGCAAAAGGTGGTTCTACAATGTAATGACTCAGGGGGCTGAATACAAATGCGCGTCACACTTTTCAGATATTTATTTGTAAAAAATTTCAATGGGTATGAATACTTATTCAAGGTACTGTACCTTTATTAAAAATATACTATTTATCTATCAAAAAGTGTTTTACAGTGTTAAACCTTTAATCCAATTTCTAAATTGTTGCATTTGTACATTTCAAAAGTGAATAAAAAAAAAAATAGTGGGGTATAAAAAGACAATAATGTTTTGTGTATTATTTGTCCTTGCAAGGGGACATGGCAGGGGTTTGTCCTATGAATACATACTTTTACTTATAGTGTTCCTCATTCCCATCTCAGAAAGTTGGGCGGTATGGTAGTATCATTACCAATATCCCTCTGGAGACACCGAATTTTTAGAAGAATCCCAAAATGTAGATGGATACAGGATGTGAATAATAAAAATAGTGCTTATGTCAATTAGGCCTCATGCTTGTGACTGGCTTAAAAAAAACAATGGCACACTAGCCTCTTTGTAGTAAGAAGCACAGAATCGTAGAATAAAGTACAGGAATAGGAAGTACTTTGTAGTAGAAAGCACAACAGGAAGCCAGTAACCTTAAGGTCAGTTGGTATCGTGTTGTAAGAGTATGTTTTTCCATTTAGGCTTGTTAACCTGTCCTTGCACCATTAACATAATTGTTGTCCTGCGTGTGATACAGGTGTCCAATACCAAATTGGCAACCACCATGTTGCAGATCAGGCTAGGGTATAGAGTTGTACCCAAACCTCATCATTCTTTTGGCACCTTGAGAGTTTTCTGCCATTCAGAATCCATGAAAGTCTTGACTTGCCATTTGCGATCACAGCTGTCAAATAGTATTAGGTCCACTTGACCTAATGCTGTCAGATGCTTACTTTGTGTCAACCAATATAATGGAATACTGATTGGTTCGTCTACTGCTTAATGGTATTTCAAGAAACAAAAATCAGCTAAACTATACCTTCTCAAAGTGGGATAGCAGAAATCACAAGATGTAAATAGCATTTACAAAATATCTAAATTGGTCTCCTGGAGTAACTTAGTGGTGCAGAGGAATTAACTTGAATACTGTATATACTTGGTAATGGCCTTTTTATTTATGACTCAGAATTCCATTATGTGGAGATGCATATTTTATTTGGCTTTGCATTTATGTGCTAAACGTGATAATTTTGCTGCAGTCAATGATTTGTCTGGGCTTTTAACAGCCTCTTCATACTCACAGAAGTCCTTATCATTCCCAAAGGCTAAATGAGGGGGCTGTTGTCTAATGGGAAAACATCAAAATGCCTATGAACAGCCTAAGCAGTTGTGATGTAGACTAAATGGCTTCTTTAAAGTCAGGAAATATTTGAATGGCTTCTACAGAACTTTTGAGTGATATATTTTGAGTGAATGTTTTACCCTGTAATTTGTCTTTGAAACATACTCTTTCTATACCACTGTCTTTATCTCTTGAGTGACATCTTTGTAATCATAATACCCTAATTTTAATCTGCTAGATGGTTCTTCAAATTAACAAGATTAATACTGTATACAGTATGCAATGCTTGTAATCTTGAAGTGTATGAGCACCTTAAATGGTCAATCTACCCAAACCTGATACTTCAGTTTTGTATAGATGCCAGCAAGTTAAAGCTGAAGTTTAATCTCCTTATACTTTGCCTCCTTGGTCCCCCTCCCTCCATCATCATCAACATGCTAATGCAATTGTGTAATAAAACCTTTCCTTTTCATTACATACATTTTTTGTGCAGGCAGATACAGCCTAGTGAAAAGCACTGTACATAGCTTCATAAAAACATCACAGTACACTACATCAGTACTCTCTCATCAAAAGTCCCCTGGTCATGATGCAAGCAGTGGGGATGACACTTGGGTGGAGTTATGCAAATATCAAAATGTTTTTATGGGTGGGTGTCAGCAAGGAGGAGTGGACATTCCTGGAAAGGCTTCCTTGTGCATGCAGACTGCTCTAGGTAACGGCCACTTGTGATGCTGAGCCTCCATGGTCGAAAGACATGAAATCCAGTGAATGAAAAGGGTTGGCCAGGGACAATTAGCCTTTGGAGGAAAGAGCTAAATGATGGTGGATTATCACCAGCCAGGAAATGGTCTTGCTCTGTGATGTGCTTCAGCTTCTAATACACACTGTGAGAAGTCCACAGTGTGCAGTGAAACCAGATTAAGCAATTTAGTACAGGAGAGAAGTATATACAAATGTGCAAGAATAAAGATAAGGCTTGAGTTTAGCTTTTTGTCTTTTTTAATCGGAAAAAAAAGGTTTTATTAACCATTTCCATACAGGGCACTTTTACCCCCTTCCTGCCTAGGCCATTTTTCAGGTTTCAGCGCTCTCACACTTTGAATGACAATTGCACGGTCATACAACACTGTATGCAAACTAAAATTTTATCATTTTCTTCACACAACTAGAGCTTTCTTTTGGTGGTATTTAATCACCGCTGGGGTTTTTATTTTTTGCTAAATTAACAAAAAAAGACTGAAAATTTTGAAAAAAAAAAAACACGTTTTTCTTTTTTCTGTTATAAAAGTTTGCAAATAAATAATTGTTCTTCATAAATTTAGGCCAAGATGTATTCTGCTACATAACTTTGGTGAAAATAACCCAAATTTGGATGTATTTTTTAGTTTGTAGGAAAGTTATAATTCACAAAACTATGGTATAGATCTGAAAATTGATCAATCCTAAAGTACTGACAGCCAATCTAATTTCTTGAGGTCCAAGAATGTCAGAACAGTACAATATCCCCAAATGACCTCTTTTTGCAAAGTAGACAGTGTTAAGAGGAATGGCGTTTTTTTTTGAAGTTGTATTTTTTTTGTCAGAAATTTTTTGGAAAAATTAAAATGAAAAAAAATTATTTTATATTTTTTTTTACATACTGTCACCAGTGCAGTACAGCGTCATCTTATAACTGGCATGGCGGTGATCAGGGATACTGACTGGTGACAGTATAAAAAAAAAAAAAATGTA